AATTTCAACGTCAAACGTCGTTCCAGCTGATATCTCTATGATATAAATCAACAAGTGTAAAATGCAATTTACTGTATTTACTCTAAATAGTTACATCTGAAGTATTCTTGTTCAAAGCCATAGACTTATCCAACAATAATGATTAACAGATCCATAAATGTATATAAAAGAAAATTACAATAAATATTTTATTCTTGGCAACTGAAAAATAATTTAACTATTGATTAATTAATAATTTTTTTGTCTCTTTAAAGTTTAAGAAGTGTGAAATGTGTGTTGAAGATCTTCAAAGTCCAACATTCTTGTTTCTGTACTTAGTGTATTATCAGTGTCGTTCAGGGGTTCAAACTGTTCTAAGCTTTTTATGAACTCTTCAGTAGATGTAGGAACTAGATTCAATTCGTTAGTAAAGACCTCATAGACTCCATGACCCATAAAGGAATCTGGTTGAGAGACGTCCGAAGCAGATGATGTGGATGCAATTGGATAATCTAAAAATGTTCATTTTTTTTGTACATTAGTAGGTATAAATATATACTCAATAATAATAATAACCTACTAATTATAGGAACATTCACATGCAAATGATCAGACATTGAGCGTAACCTTTCAGATACTAGACCATCTACACTTTCCAAAACGGCTTGATTTTCATCGCATAATATTGATTCTTCCATACTAGAGCTAAGTAAGAAATCTACCTTGGATGATTGACTATCAAAAATATTTAAATGGATAGGACTAGAGTGACGATTTAAACTTTGTGGTGTAGAAACTTTGGGTTCAATAGATTTTGTGGAGTCCATAGCCCAAACATTAGATTCTTGATCCATTTCATAATCATTTTGAATGTCTTTTAAACTGTAAGAGCCTTTTGGTAAGCCAAACAAATGCTCTAATGAATCATCTATGAACTAAAACATTAAAAAAAAAAATTAAAACAAGAAATATACACCAAAAGGATAAGATATTTTATCTATTTTACCATTTGATTGTTATCAATAGAACTAGATTCACAATTTGATACAATTTTAAAAGATTTTGATAAATTTCTTAAATTTATAATTAGTGTATTTAGCTCTTTAGAAAATGCTTGCAGACCTCCACTCTCGAGTGTATTAGATAGTAAATCCCAAACAGATATCGTTCCAGATAATGATTTCATAAGGCTGGGTTTTTTCAGATGTTTCATTATCTAATAACATGCAAAAAAAATTTATTTAACTGGAATACAGAAATTAGTTTCATACTATTGTTGTACTTGTTTCAAATGACATTGCAAATTTTTTTTAGACTTAATATAAGCACAATGTTGGTATTTTGCAACTTCTGTCTGAGTATGGGTTTCTTTTTTACTATTAATTATATCAACTGAAATATAATAAAATATAATAACATTTTTATAAAAAACCTTTACTGTCTACATAATATTCAAGATAGATTACTATTTATTGGTGTTTCATGAAGGTTTTGGAAAATGTCTTGTAACTCTGAATCCACTTGTTTTTCAGCTGTATTCATCTTGTGAGAAGGAAACTTTTCCAAATGTTCTTGCATTCGTTTATGGCCTAAATATGTTTTACTGCATCCTCCACAAACAAAATCTGATTTAACATTGTATTTCACTTTTTTTCTACCAATAATGTCTGGAAAAAATATTATTAATGTTATTAAACTATATATTTAAATACTGAACACATATGCAAATAACACATGACATTGTATTCAGTGTTTGTACTATCAGATGTAGTAATATCACACTAGTGTATTTTCTGACATTAAAGTAAAATTAAATCATCAAAATCGAGGGGAAAAGCTATTGTACACTTGCTTACTAAAATTTAAAAATTTAAAACTTAACCTGTGATCAGCTGGCCAACAGATAAGTTTAGATTCTAACTATACAAAATGGATTGGGAAATATAATGACAGTGATTAGAACCACATGAAAATATATTAATTTTATCTTGCATTTAATTAAAAATAATATTAATTATAAAAAAAAAAACTCATCATGTGAAAACTGCTGGCAAGGAAATTTTGGAATTTATTTCCATACATTTTAATAAATAAATAATATTTTGTTTTCATTCTAATTAGTAAAATACACACTGATTAGTGAATGTTTAGAAGGAACAAAAATCACAGTAAAACATGATGCATTTTTTATATGAGAATAAACCTTATTGAAAAGAATATTAACTGTACATTTTTTTATGTTTAGTTGGCAAAGTTCAGTGGTCATTCTAAAAGGAGATAGTATTAACATTTTCTTAATAGTTAAATTTTTTTTTTAACAAATCTTATATAACCTCTTCACTGATTAAGGCAATTTTTTAAGAAATGAATATAGGTAGTATATTGTAGATTCATGTTTAGGAAAAAGTTTCTCTACCGGCAATACATAATATGTAAAACCTTACACTATTAATTATATACGTTAATAAATTATTTCAAATTAAAATAAATAAAACATATACTTATACCATTATTGTCGACTATTAAAAATGAGCTCTTTTTGGTGGTTTCCATTGTGTTTTCATCATTTAAAAAGTGTTTTGGAGGTTTACACAAGCGGCCGGACTTTGTAGATGTTAATGGGTGCTCTATAATCTATAAAAATATGATAGTAAAAATATGTAAATATATACTAACACCACTGAGAGAGCGCTACTGGGAGGTGACCAAAACTCATCCGATCTCTTGCATTTCCACCACTAAAACTGCCCATACACTGGCTACCGTCAACGTCATTGCAACAAATAAGTAGTAGAGTGAGAGAAATTTGGGTACGGAAATGCGGAGCTCGGTCATTTGGATGCGCCAAATAGTACCAATCTTTCAGCGGCAGTAGTATAGTAAATATGTAAAAAATAAAAAAAGTATTAAAGGGTATTGAATTACGTCTTCTGGTCTGGACTGCTTTGAAGATTCCTCTTGTTTTATTTCACTCTTAATTAATTCACTTAATTTCAGTTTTCTTGGTCGTCCTCGTTTTGGAACATTTATTTCAATACAATTTGTTTTTAAATCAGATGGTCTTACCAAACTGGATAACAATACAATTTTTATAATATACTTATTTATGTAGAAAATTAATTATGTATTGCCTCGAATTTAAAGCATGAAATTAAAAACTGTTTATTTATCTGACATTTTAATCAAAAGACAGTACTAATAAGTTAAAATATAAAATGTATAATTTTTTTAATAATAATAAGAAACAATTATAGAAAAAAACATAAAAATTAATAATAATATTATATAAATATGAAATGTAGCTATTTTAATTCACTTACTGAACAATTAAATTTGTATCAGTCGTTGGGTCATACATCAATACTTTATTATTACCATTTTGCATATCTTCATCTTTAAGCAGTAGTGATATATCATCAACAGATTTTTCTGAATAATATGTGTTAATATGTGGCCTAAGACAATTCAATAAAAATCATATTATAAGTAGGTACCTAATTAAAATATATTTGTTATGCAGTTGATTACTAACTCAGTAGATTGATTGTTCTCTATGGCCGAGTGGTGTATAGTTTTGTCATAAGATAATTTTTTGGTTGACTTTGTAGGACTTGTGTGGCAAACTAATGGCTGAACACACTCAGTACTCACTGTCGGAACTTGATGGTGTACACTTGGAACATAGAAGTTATAAGACATCAGTTCTCCAGAAGTCATTTGGTGTGGTAGTTGTGCATTGCTTTCTTCGGTCAGCTCCGGAATCACATTTAATACGTACACAGGGTAGTTCTCCAAATTTTGTAAATCCATTTCTAGAACATAAAACACGTAACTGGTAATATACTGGTAATGCAAAATAGACTGTACGCCTGTACTTACTGTGAAACACCACCAGATTAATATTGCTTGTCAGTGGTGAACAAAAAATTTAAAACGTCTTTTATATTCAATCTTGATCTTGAAGTTAAAAATTTGAAACCATGACAACATTGAAAATAATATATTGATTACATTATAATAATAGCGATCATATAATATTATAATCGCTTTTTCGGGGACTTACCGAGAGAAAAAGGTTTACCGTGACAATAATATATTATATCGATGGCGTAGCGCACAAGTGTGATAAGTGACATTTTTTGAAAAATGAGTTAAGTGCATAATCAATTTAATCATACAATTCTGCACATTATGCCCAAACCACGGATTAATATACGGATTTATTTAATCCGTGGCCCAAACGTTGTAAGTGAATAGTTCATTATTTACTCCGATAGATGTCGTACAGTTCGTTACATTTTTGAATTAGTTATAACATCTCAAACTTAAAAATCGTTCTCCTGAACAATTACGAAAATGTCACTTATCACACTTGTGCGCTACGCCATCGATATTATATTATAAAAATGATACTTTCATGCGTTTTATTGAGAATCGTTTTAGATTTGGAATTTGGGCTTTGGGCATAATTTAAAATTTTATGCCAAAACTGAAAACTTGACTTGAGTACTGTCCTGTTTTTGCTGTTTACCATAATGCCTCTATCACATCTATTTACAAATTACAAACCACAAATGTATTATCAATGGTCCATAATCCCCGGTTAAAGATACCGCAGGAACTGATTATAGTCCCTCCATATCACCTATAACAATAAATTGATATTACAGCCTTAAAAAGTTAAAACAACAACTAAACAAGACCGTGTTCCATTATGTCCATCGCCGATGTTCATACATTTTTTCAATTTAACAATGGCCATCATTATTAATTGATATTTTATTTTTAAGTTTTAAAAGTTATTTACTTTTCCATTGAGATTTGAGAATATTTGAAGTTTTGAACATCGATCGGCCGTCAAGTTGTATTGCGTTATCGATCTGCTCGTTTTTGTTAATAGCCAACAGGCAGTAACAGCAATTTATAGTGCGTTAGCCGATTCCAGGTTTGGGCAATCGATCGTTATTGTTGTTGGACATTATTTGAGTTTATTTTTATTTACTCTATCAAATTTTGTCATCATGGATTTACTTGGGTCGATCATGAAATCAATGGAAAAACCACCAACTGTGGACACCAAAGAAAAACTTAGGCAAAAAAGTAAGCCTTAATTAGGTGTTTATTATTTTTAATTTACGAAATTTATTCGTGTTTTTTGGCAAAGTGAATAATCCCGTATTATAAAGTAATTATGTAAAATGTCTACAAATCTCTAGGAATGTACATAATATGAGTTTTGCCTAGTCATCATGTATGATGATCCTTAATGTATGGCAGTCAATAAACCAGTATAAAATGTACGCTACTTAAAAAGTATTCAATTATTATAACTGAACATATTAAAACTGTATGATACCACAGTCGTCCACTTATCGACAGTAACATTCTGTACTCTGTGTATATCTGTTGTTTATACAATATAGTACATGATGGATGCAAAATCAAAGTTTAATACTGAGTTAAAAAAAACCCGCGAGAAATTAGCTAAAAATGCTTCATGTTTAACTGACGAGCAATATAGTACTATAATCGGACAAATATTAGAATTAAAAAGTGGAGTTAAGAAAAAGGAGCCAAGAGACTTTCATCTATTAAAAAGGTAAATATTTAATTATTTTTTAATCTAACTGCACTTAATGTAATAAGAATTTTAAATTAAAAAACAATTAGAACTTGATGTCTATTTTAATATTACAATTAAATTTGATTTTAGGTTTGATGTAATATTAGATCAAGACAAGTATAAATTGATTGTTCCTATGAAAGACAAAAGTGTGGTCCTGTATTATGTGTCTGATGGAAACCTGTATAATTTATTAAAATCTACTCATGTTTTGATTGGGCATGGTGGACGTGATCGGATGATAAAGGAATTAAGTAAAAATTACAAAAATATAAGTCGTAGTGATATTTGCACATTTTTACAAATGTGTGAACCATGCCAGAAAAAACAAAGGAGTATTAAAAAAGCCATATTTGTGAAACCAACTATTTGCACTGAAATAAATTCCAGATGTCAGGTTGATTTGATTGAATTTAAATTTATTGATGAGAAATTTAAGTATATAATGATCTATCAAGACAACCTTACAAAATTTGTAGTGCTAAGACCCTTAGAGCATAAACTCATTGAAGAAGTGGCTTACAACCTTGTCGATATATTTACTTTATTAGGAGCCCCTTGTATTATTCAATCTGTTCATGGTCGAGATTTTTCTAATGATATAGTTAACTGTCTTCGGGGCCTCTGGCCTGAATTAAAAATAGTTCATGGTGAACCCTGCCAGTCCCAAGAAAACGAAGAGCAAGTAAAAAAAGACGTCAAGAATATGTTGATTACTTGGATGCAGGATCAAAAAAGCTCTCATTGGAGTGAAGGTCTTCGTTTCATACAGTTAATGAAAAATACAGCTTATAATTCGGGCATAAAAATGTCACCTCATGAAGCATTATTTGGTACTAAAATTAAAGTCGGGTTAAGTGAAAAAATGTTGTCTGATAACGCTGCACTAAATATAGATAGTGAGGAAGATTTAAAAGAAATTATTCAAAAAAGTAAAGTTATAAAAAAAAAACAAAACTTATCAAATTCTGACACTAGAAATGAAGAAAAGATTTCTGTTATTCAGTTAAACAACGAAAATGTAAATGATTCATGTAAGATTGTAAAACAAAATCTCATAAGCCAAGCAAAGGAAATTAAAAAAAATTCAGATAGAAATATTTTACCAGTCGAAATTGGATCAGTACAACTTCCAGTTCTGAAGAATAACAAAGACCATGGGGATTTAATAAATATATTGCCAGTTATAGAGATGGTATTTCAAAAAGTAATAACAACATACCTTATAAAGATTATTAAAAACACCATAATTTTAAAACTTTCTTTTTTTCAGTTAACGACTGATGGTTTTTGTAAGGCTGAAATTCAAGATGGAATCTTAACTCAGCCTTATACCAGAAGTGTATTAAATATATGTCAAAAAATGCGTATACAGATTAATGAGACGGTGGAAAAGGATGTGGCATTAGGAACTTTGTCAAATGAACAATCTATAATTACTGAGCAACTACTTACTAATGGAAATGCCAGAATTAAAAGTGTGTTTGCATGAAAAACAAAATACTGTGAAATTTATACATTTGTAAAGAAATGTACATTTCACAGATTATTTACATATGATATTGATATAAATATAAACAAACTGATAAATACTACATAAATTATTATATATATTATATTATATATTCTATAATATATTTAATAACGGTTATACTTCATAGGTGCTTGCGTAAGATTAAATTGAAATAATTAAACTATGAATAAATAATTAATAATATTTTACAAAAACTTATAATATTCAATTTTAAAATAATGTTTTACTTTCCCTAAAATTGTCGGGTTTCATGCATTACGCATTTGACCTAACTTATTCACTTTGCTGGTAGCATAACTAAAGATTTTATCACTGACTGATTTTTTTATTTTTTTTTTATTTTAGAAGCCCAAGAAGTATATATCAAACAACAGAATAAGGAAAAAGCAAGAATGATACAGTTCCGTAATGAAGTAATACTAATTATAATTTATACATTTTTATGATAAGGAATTGTATGCTTTTTATTTTTTAAATTTATAAATTTAAAATTTAAATTATCTAAGAAAACTATAGATAATCCTAACAATGTTTCTTCATTAATTTTCTATGTTCATTAAATTAAAATATAAATATAATTTAATTAATATGGTATTTTATTTTAGACAGAGAAAAAAGTGACATCATTTGTTCAAGACGATCACCAGACTCGTTTGAAATTCCCTACTTTGAATAAAGTGTTACGCAATATTGTGTGAGTACATTAATTTTAATCATTATTTATTGGAAACTGTAAGAATATATATTTTTAAATAGACATGAAATTGCTGAGGATGCTGGAATGTTAGCTTATTCTTTTGGAGAAGAAGAAGTTGATCGTTATATTATGATATTCAAGAAAGACTCTCCGCCTTCTGAGGATGAATTAAATGCACTCCGAAATGGTCAAGAATGGAATGATGATATTGCTAAAAGATTATCGGAACAGGTTTGTGTTATATTATTAAGCTACAATCGTTCCACAATCGACCTCCAATAATAACCCATTTATAAAATATCTCGCAGTTCTTCCATTCCTGCAAACTTCGTCCAGAGGTCTAAACCGAAAATAATGTTGTGACCATGACTAAATAAACAGGCATTTTAGCTAAAATTTCATTTTCGCTATTGTCGCGCTTGTTCCCCAGATATGGAAAGAATAATAATATGTAATGGATAATTTATGCACAGTGTTAAAGAGCTGACGTGCCTGTTTATTTAGTCATAGTTGTGACCATCTTAATCCTGTTCCCCCATTTATACCGGCCTAGGTTCAACACTGGTAAAAAAAAAACTTGTTTTTAGTTATTAAACAACTTTACTTGCTTACGGCCTTTTTAAATTGACTTTTGTATGAATTTTATTTTAGTCCGTATTATATAAGTTCATGTTTAAAGTGTTTTGATAATCAATACATATACTTGTTAATATACCTGTTTTCATAAATTATTAGAGGGAACAAGTTAAAATTGAAGAAATGTTAGATGAAGAAAAACGAATGATGCTAAAGCGAACTAACCAAGATAAGCCTAAATATAATTACAAAGAAAAATTCCAACACCTTGTTGGTTTAGAAGCAGCTGAACAAGCAGCACGGAAGACAGAAACTAATAAATCTTATGGATTTGGTAAGTTTAAAATATTTTTAAATTCTGAACCCAGCAAGTATTTTAGTTTTAAATGTAGCAATCATAATATATTTTGTAATACAAATTAATTTTCAGTTCCAAGTGAAAATAAAAAAGATCAAAGGTCAATCGAGCAAACACTAGCAGATATACGCGAAAAAAAAAGATTGAAAATAGAAAATGACAACTCTCAAAATCAATCTTTAAAAACGGACTAATTTTATTTTGTTATAGTCTACATTTCTATGAAATATATGTTAAAGGTTTATTAAATCAGGCAAAATAGGAATACAGCACATAAAAATTGCTTAAAACATATATAAAACAATGAAGTGTAAAAATAAAATTCTCACATTTAAATTTATTATTCTAACAAATTATTCAAAATTATATATTCATTTTATTTTTAATTAATCATGTAAAGCAATACTCAATATATTTTTGATATTTATTTGACTAAACCGGTTGTTAACATGTAAACCTAGTAATAAATGTAGAAGTAATTAAAAATAGTTTGTATATTATGTGTAATTTGTATGATTTAACTATATAAGTTAAGAATCACATCTTAAAATAAATTATGTTATTAGTTAATATGTATGACTGTACGAGTAAAGACATCAAAAGTTATTTCTATAATAATAGTTATTAACCTTGTTTGACCTCATAAATGTATACACATAAATTTATAATAATTAATAAGATTGTATCAAAGTCAAATGATACATTTTTGGTTTTCTAGATTCTGGTGCTTAGTTTGTAGTCAAGCTTAATTATGATTATTTTATATTCATTTGTATGAGTTTTCTATAATTGCTTAGTTTACTTTAGAGTTTTGACTTTCGACATTACCTATGTGAAATATGTTTCCTTAATTTCTTTAGGTGATATTTAGATTCCGTTAAGACTGTTGAGAGATCTGAAATTAGGTTTTTATTTCAATTATTTGTATTTAATCTTCCAATTCTAAATACACTTTGACCTGAGTGTGTACAATTTAATGATATGCAGAGAAGTAATTGTTGATCGAAAAGCTTGAAAGTTTGATGTACGTTGGGTATGAGTCGTTTTTAATTTCTTACGGGAATACAAAAATTCAAAAGCACAATTTTTTTAAGGACATTTGAAAATTTTGTTTCAACACATGTGGATATTTAAAATAAATTTTTTATTTAAGGGAACTTCAAGATTTTTACTATAGCATACATAATTTATTATGCACACTTAATGTTCAAAATATTTGGACTAATTTTAAGCTATTTATACCATGAATCTTATTGGCACTGTTAAAGAATAAAATATGGTATGCAGTATTGACTTATAACACATACCTAATATTAATAAAAAAAAAGGTGGGTAAGTGGATGTCGCTCTGCTGTACAGTAGGTTACAAGTGGGTCACTGTATAATGGATGCTATTAAATTTGAATTCAATGATATAATATCATTGTATAAGAAAAACGATTCTGAGCGAAGACGGTATGTCAGTCTAGGTTTAAGACAAATTATATACATATCTATGGTATTAAAAAAAAATTGACCTAAAATAAATTCCAAATTAATCATATCACATTATCACAATATCTATTAGGTACTTATAACACGTTATACATCAACATCAATAACAAACCCTGATACTATCATAGATATATAATAGTACACTTTAGAAGTTTCAAGTAAGTACCCACGAATAATATTATATAATCACAACAAAATAACTAGGTTTTTTAATATGTAATTTCATCCAAATTTGAACATAAAATGACTATAAAAATAAACTGTGATTGTATATTTTTTTAGATTTTTCGGTAAGAGAATTAACTACTTACGTGGAAATGTGGAATCTTGTTTTAAATTTTCAATCCTTAGCTATAAAAACTGAACATTTTATAATTTATTAATTACGATGATTAATAATTTTCGAGATTTTGAAAAATTCTGCAAAAATTGTGCCTATGTATTTTTAATATTTTTCAACTGATATTGTAACAATATATCAGGAGCCTTGTATTAAATTTTTACACTTTTTGGCCCAACAGATAAAACTTTATTGATATTCATAGAAAAAAAAACTAAAAAAATTGATAAATGAAAATTTCCGTAAACAGCTCAAAAAGAGTCAAAATATTTTCAAAATTGTATGGTGTATAGAAAATGCTAATATAAACATTCAGTGAAATTTTCATGTATCTATAGTTATTCGTTTATGAATAACAACAAAATAAGGAAATCGCTACATGAGAAATCGAGTGAACATAAAATGTTGTAAAAATTTGAATTTCAAACGCTCATAAAAATTTAATTTGACTGTCCGGTAGAGATTTTTTTATTGATAAAGGTAGACAAACTTATGAGTAATCATGTATTACATTTTCAAATCTTAGATTTAAAAAGAAAAATTTTTACGAATTCTTAACTCAAAATAATTTGCTAATTTTCGTGATTTTTCCATATTTTGTCAATTTTTGAACTTTAAATGCTTATAAAAAAAAATTGTGACTAACGAATTTTTCATCTGCCTTTGAAACAATATACTAGGAGCCTTCTATTAAATTTTCAAGTTTTTTTAAGCAACAAATAAAATTTTATCGATATTTCTATAAAATAAACTAAAAAAAAATGAAAAATGAAAATGTCCTTAAACAGTTCAAAATAAATCAAAATATTTTGAAAATGTTATCGTGTATAGAAAATGCAAATATAAACAACCACTGAAAATTTCATGTATCTATGGTCATTTGTTTTAAAATTACACCAAAAACCAAAATCCATTTTGCGTAAAAATTCCAGTTTTTCCTTAATTTTTTTTTTTTTCTTGGCGCTTTTGAAAACTACTGGGAAATTTAAATTTAGACCCCCTCAAAGCACCAACGATATTCACTTTCCAATCGAACAAGATACTGAAGTCGAAAATCGAAGCATTATTTCGACTACTTATCGTGTACACAGACACAAAAAAAATAAAAAAAAAACACACATCATTGTAAAATCAATACATTCATCGTTTCACTCAGAATCTAAAATACTCAATAGGTTACAATTATGTTAACAGGGCCGTATTTGAGGGGGGGCAAGTGTACCTTGTTGCCCGGGGCGGCAAATTGTTTAGTCCATTTAGGGGGCGGCAAATTTATATTGATAAATTATTATTGTATATTAACTGTTGAAAAAAAAAAAATAAATTTACATAATTTTAATTATTATTTTAACCTTCTATTAAAAACATTATTATAGCTCGAAAAGGTATAATATTGTTAACATCAGTTTGTCGGAAAATAATATAAATTATATTATTAACATACTATATATAAATAGATTGGGTTTTTGAACGTAAGAACGGCAAGAATCAGGGAGGTTAATCCACTAGCTGAGTATTCTCCGTGTGCTGCACACTCTCTAAATTTGGTTGGTAGTTGTGCAGCAAATTGTTGTGAAGAAGCCTGTCATTTTTTTGAACTGTTACAAGCAGTATACTGTTTTTTTACGGCGTCGATTCATCGTTAGGAAATGTTGAATGTAAAAGTCACAAAAATCACGAAAATTAGCAAATTATTTTGAGTTAAGAATTCGCAAAAATTTTTCTTTTTAAATCTAAGATTTGAAAATGTAATACAAGATTACTCATAAGTTTGTCTACCTTTATCAATAAAAAAATCTCTACCGGACAGTAAAATTAAATTTTTATGAGCGTTTGAAATTCAAATTTTTACAACATTGGATGTTCACTCGATTTCCTTATTTTGTTGTTATTCATAAACGAATAACTATAGATACATGAAAATTTCACTGAATTTTTATATTAGCATTTCCTATACACCATACAATTTTGAAAATATTTTGACTCTTTTTGAGCTGTTTACGGATATTTTAATTTTTCAATTTTTTTAGTTTTTTTTTCTATGATTATCAATTAAGTTTTATCTGTTGGGCCAAAAAGTGTAAAAATTTAATACAAGGCTCCTGATATATTGTTACAATATCAGTTGAAAAATATTAAAAATACATAGACACAATTTTTTTTTATAAGCATTTAAACATCGAATTTTGACAGAATTTTTCAAAATCTCGAAAATTATTAATCATCGTAATTAATAAATTATTAAATGTTCAGTTTTAGATTCTGAGTGAAACGATGAATGTATTGATTTTACAATGATGTGTGTTTTTTTATTTTTTTTTTTATTTTTTTTTTTATTTTTTTTTTTATTTTTGTGTCTGTCATCACGTTTTAGGACAGTAAAAGTGCTTGGATTTTCTTCATCAGTAGCTTTTCTGATAGGAAAGTGAATCTAGTTGGTACTTTGGGGGGTCAAAAGTATAAATTTCCCAGTAGTTTTCACAAGCGCCGGGAAAAACAACATAAAAATTAAGGAAAAACGGGAATTTTTACGCAAAATTGGTTTTCCAAAAAATCGATTTTGGTTTTTGGTGTAACTCTAAAACAAATGAACGTATATACATGAAATTTTCACTGGTTGTTTATATTTGCATTTTCTATACACGATAACATTTTCAAAATATTTTGATTTATTTTGAACTGTTTAGGGACATTTTCATTTTTCATTTTTTTTTAGTTTTTTTTCTAGAAATATCAATAAAATTTTATTTGTTGGTTGCGAAAGCTTGAAAATTTAATAGAAGGCTCCTAATATGTTGTTTCAAAGGCAGATGAAAAATATTAAAAATCCTTAGTCACAATTTTTTTTTATAAGCACTTAAAGTTCAAAAATTGACAAAATATGGAAAAATCACGAAAATTAGCAAATTATTTTGAGTTAAGAATTCGTAAAAATTTTTCTTTTTAAATCTAAGATTTGGAAATTTAACACAAGATTCCTTATAAGATTATCTACCTTTATAAATAAAAAAATCTCTACCGGACAGTCAAATTAAATTTTTATGAGCGTTTGAAATTCAAATTTTTACAACATTGGATTTTCACTCGATTTCTCATGTAGCGATTTCCTTAGTTTGTTGTAATTCAAAAACGAATAACTGTAGATACATGAAAATTTCACTGAATGTTTATATTAGCATTTCATATACACCATACAATTTTGAAAATATTTTGACTCTTTTTGAGCTGTTTATGGACATTTACAGCTTTCAATTTTTTTTAGTTTTTTTTTCTATAAATATCAATAAAGTTTTATCTGTTGGGCCAAAAAGTGTAAAAATTTAATACAAGGCTCCTGATAAATTGTTACAATATCAGTTGAAAAATATTAAAAATACATAGGCACGATTTTTTTTTATAAGCATTTAAAGTTGGAATTTTGACAAAATTTATCAAAATCTCGAAAATTATCAATCGTTGGAATTAAAAAATTATAAAATGTTCAGTTTTTATAGCTAAGAGTTGAAAATTTAAAACAAAGATTCTCTTAAATAATTCATACTGTAACCAAAAAATCTAAAAAATATATAAACACACTTATTTTTTACAGACATTTTAATTTCAAATTTAGACAAAATTTCATATTTAAACCAAGAATTACGATTTTAGTTATTTTGTTGTGATTGAATAATACTATTCGTGGGTACTTGAAACTTCTAAAGTGTACTATTATATATCTATGATAGTATCACGGTTTTTGTTGATGTATAACGCGTTATAAGTATCTAATGGATATTGTGATATGATTAATTTGGAATTTATTATAGGTACCTATTATAGGTCAATTTTTTGTTTAATACCATAGATATGTATATAATATGTCTTAAACATAGACTGACATACCGTCTCCGCTCAGAATCGTTTTTCTTATACAATGATATTATATCGTTGAATTCAAATTTAATATCATCCATTATACAGTGACCCACTTGTAACCTACTGTACAGCAGAGCGACACCCACTTGCCCACCTTTTTTATAGCTAAGGATTGAAAATTTAAAACAAGATTCCACGTAAGTAGTTAATTCTCTTACCGAAAAACCTAAGAAATATACAATCACAGTTTATTTTTATAGTCATTTTATGTTCAAATTTGGACGAAATTACATATTAAAAAACCTAGTTATTTTGTTGTGATTATATAATATTATTCGTGGGTACCTACTTGAAACTTCTAAAGTGTACTATTATATATCTATGATAGTATCAGGGTTTGTTATTGATGTAGATGTATAACATGTTATAAGTACCTAAAGTCAATTTTTTTTTTAATACCATAGATATGTATATAATTTGTCTTAAACGACTTAAACCTAGACTGACATACCGCCTTCGCTCAGAATCGTTTTTCTTATACAATGATATTATATCATTGCATTCAAATTTAATACCATCCATTATACAGTGCCCCACTTGTGACCTACAGTACAGCAGAGCGACATCCACTTACCCACCTTAATTTTATTCTCAAACCTTCAGTCTAGGAGAAAGTTATACATTTTTTTTATATATTTTTATATATTGTTATTTATATACCTATTTAGATTATAATTATTAATACCAAATACAATACTTAATAATAAATGATACATTATTTACTTAAAACTATTTTCTTAAATTGACATTGGTTTTCCTATATAAATAAATAACTATAATAGAAGGAATTTTGTTTAATGTTCATAATATAATATTATTCATAATAAATTTTACAATAATAAATTACGCACATAATATGTATTTAATATTATAGTGTATATTGTATATACATTTAATTCGCCAATATTATATAAGTGAGAGTAGCATATTAATATATTATTATGTTTATGTAGTTGGTTCAATTTTCTTGTACCAAAATTGTATACAACAAAATAGTTACACCTTACTTTTTAAGAAATAGTATTTTTTTTTTTGGTGGGAGAGGGGGGGAGGGGCAGCGGAAATATGTTGCCCCGGGGCGGAAATTGTCCAAATACGACCCTGTATGTTAATAATATGTGCGACGATTATTATCTTTAATCGCGATAGGTACCATGTAGTTCGTACCTATATGAATATGATATAAATATATAATATTATAATAACATGTGATGTTTTGGGAAAAATTGGTTTAAAGGGCCAGCATGTGACTGGTTTTTTTTCTCAAAAACATGCCTAGAGGAAAAACTCTCACGCCTCTCTGAGTGATCCAATTTTGATAATTTTTTTTTTTTTTTTTGACAGAGAAACGCTTCTTACAGGGCCCATTGAATTTGGATTTTAAAAATTCTATTTCTAAACCATATAATACGATTTTGAATATAACCAATTTTCACAAGATTATGTTATTTTGATTATGTTTGTTTTAATCAACGAATCCAGTGGGGCCTGTAGAAAATTATCCTCTAACGAAAAAAAAATTTATCAAATTAGACCACTCAACGAAGAGTGATAGTTTTTCCTGAAAAGCGTGTTTTATGCGAAAAATCACGGAATTTTTTTTTTAGTCGGTGGTGACGTTGACATGTGTGCCCGTACATGACGTGCGTAGATGGTCAGGTGCCCGCATTCAATCACGCTCACTTCTCACACTAATCAATAATCATTGACGACCACGGGGACTAATATAATAATTAATAATATTACAATATCATATCTTAGTCCATGTTGACGACTAACACAAATGCCATGGGCGACGGCAGCGAAATTGCATAATGCCTAAATATTGCCCCTTATTAAAGACACACGAGACACCGTCCCCTTAACATACCGTACATCTAATAGAAATATTGGTCAATACTCAATTAATTAATTGATAAATATAAATTATAAATATAATAGAGAATGAATAGTAATAGAATTTTATAAATATAAATTATAACAATTACTATAATAATTATATTATTATTCTATTACTATTCATTCAGTATTGGTAATTTATATTTATATTTATGTATACCTGGGCGTATTATTCAGATTTCAGGCGGGTTTTTGATTTTCGTCGTGAAAGTCAAGGAGATCATACCGTAGTTGGAAATCTATCCTCCCGGGCGCCTGAATCTTGTTTATAAAAACCTAAGTACCTAACCTACAAAATCAAAAACTCTACTATCTTTTCGAGTGTTGGTGTTCTCTTGAAATGTTCTTCTAGTTTTCGCGTCTGGTTCAGTAATTCTTTTCCGTCAAAATGGTAAGTTTTTTTAATTTTTATCCATCTTAATCCAAGCAACCGTCTGTCCATCGGCCAAAACGTTTGCAATAATAATTTCTAACCAAATATTTTTGTATAATATATTACTTATATGTTACATCTTACGTCGTCCGACTTAGATTTTTGGAACAATTTATATTCGTCCGTCAATCTGAATCGGACGACGCTTAACTAATTCCGTTACAATATTAACAACGATAATTCGTTTCAATCCCGATTTCGACCGTCGTTCGATATTGAAAGATGTTAACGTCCGGACGACGAACCGCAATCGATTTTCGTTTGTGTAGATTAGACGGCTTGTTTTGGTTACTTGAAATATAATATTTTGAAAATAATCCAGGTACCTATGCATTTTATACATTGTAAACTGTTCGTAGGCCAGAGGACCGAAAAAACATTTGAAGCGTTTAAACGCACCCAAAGCATGGATGTTGGACAAATTGGGAGGTGTCTTCGCCCCTCGTCCAAGCACCGGTCCACACAAACTCCGTGAATCACTGCCGTTATTGATTTTCTTGCGTAATCGTTTGAAGTATGCACTTACTGGTGCCGAAGTTACCAAGATTGTCATGCAAAGATTAATCAAGGTTGATGGCAAAGTCCGTACCGACCCTAATTATCCAGCTGGTTTCATGGGTATGTAACTCGTTCTATATTATAAACAATCTAAAATAGCTACCTATATTCCAGTGTATTTAATTTGTTATACTCACCCATTTAACATAATGTACACATTGATACATTATACTACATTGATTTCTGATTGATTTGGGTGGAATTTTTTTTAACATTAATACGTTTTCGTAAATTTTTTCTTGCTAGTTTTTTGTTAAGTTTTTATTGTCGTGGTTACTTATTTGCAAAAATATATTTTTGATTCATAGGATTTCCTTGTTCATAGGAGAACAATATCGAGTGCCGTGCTATGGGTTTTTTTTTTATTGGATTTTTGTATTTTCGAGGTTTTTGCAAGTTTAAGTTTTTACCTATATTTAAATTTTTAAATGTCAATTTTATAAGTCAAATAGTGTTCTAGGGATCTACTCAATTATTTGTTTGATTTTTTTGTTAAAATGTGTTATTTACCTACTTATACTCTTCTTAATTTTGAATATAATTAGGAGTCAATTCTGTCCTTTAAGTATTAGTTTCACTGACAAAAAAAAAAAAAAAATATTATATTTCACTTGCTCTCTTTAATCCAATTAAGTAGGTTGGTACTATTAGGTATTAAAAAAAAAAAAAAAAAACAAATGGAATTTAAGAAATAAAAATGGTTACTTTAAATTTTTGTCACCTTACAATATAATTCATAGTTATCTCTATAATATACAACCTTCAATTCATTGTGTACTTTATACTTTTGGAAAATAATCATTTCAAAGTTTGCTTTGAATTTATATTAATATTTTATATTATAACTATGTACCTACACTTGCCACAAATCAGTGTCTTCCATCATATAACATAGAAAATCCACGTTTAGCATTCTTATATTTTACATTTAACCGTCGTTGTGGCTAGAGACCCGGACACCGGGTATCTAATACGTACCCGGACACTGTTCTGCGCATGCGCGGGGACTTGTATATTTTCACCGCGATGTTATCATTGTTATCAGGTAGGTTAGGTGTTATCAATCCCGCGTAAATTTGAATTATTCTATATAATATTATAATTTAAATGCTTTAAAAAACCGGTTTCAGTGAACTGTTTTGACAATTGCAATTTATTACATACCTCTTGATAAAATACTGTAATTATATACCTTGCTCTTCTTAGTCCACAAATGTAAGGGTATATTATTTATTTAAAAATAGTCAGAGGCTGTTTGTTTTCTGGGTTTTCTTCATATTTTTGAATTTAACAGTGACAGTTTTAACAGTGACAATTTTAACAGTGACAACATTACACATCAAAAAGCTATTTGTATAATAAATTAAAAATTAGTGTTAAATTAAAGTTATCAAGATGCGCATAGGTGACACATTTAAAAGTTATGCAGAATTTGAAAAAGCCTTAAATCATTTCAAGACATCAAACTTTGTTGACTATTGCATTAAAGACTGCAAGACTATTTCGTCTCAAAAACACAGGTACCCAAGATTGGCAAACACGTCTGAAGATTTGAAATATTATTATGTCAAACTTATGTGTATTCATGGAGTATTTTAGATAATATATATTATATTTATTTTATTTATACATCTACCGTAAACTTAATTCAGAACTATGCGCCAAGGTTGTCAAGCTTTTATTTATTTAATAATAAACAGTGAAGGAAATGCATTAGATTAGATACGGTAGATGTATAAATAAAATAAATATAATATATATTATCTAAAATACTTTAAATACTTACGAGGTATTTCGTTGATCTTGGCAAATCTTTTTTTTTTGTGGACCCCTCCATGAATACACATAAGTTTGACATAATAATATTTCAAATCTTCAGACGTGTTTGCCAATCTTGGGTACCTGTGTTTTTGAGACGAAATAGTCTTGCAGTCTTTAATGCAATAGTCAACAAAGTTTGATGTCTTGAAATGATTTAAGGCTTTTTCAAATTCTGCATAACTTTTAAATGTGTCACCTATGCGCATCTTGATAACTTTAATTTAACACTAATTTTTAATTTATTATACAAATAGCTTTTTGATGTGTAATGTTGTCACTGTTAAAATTGTCACTGTTAAAACTGTCACTGTTAAATTCAAAAATATGAAGAAAACCCAGAAAACAAACAGCCTCTGACTATTTTTAAATAAATAATATACCCTTACATTTGTGGACTAAGAAGAGCAAGGTATATAATTACAGTATTTTATCAAGAGGTATGTAATAAATTGCAATTGTCAAAACAGTTCACTGAAACCGGTTTTTTAAAGCATTTAAATTATAATATTATATAGAATAATTCAAATTTACGCGGGATTGATAACACCTAACCTACCTGATAACAATGATAACATCGCGGTGAAAATATACAAGTCCCCGCGCATGCGCAGAACAGTGTCCGGGTACGTATTAGATACCCGGTGTCCGGGTCTCTAGCCACAGCGTTTAACCGTAGTGATTTATTTTAAAATTTCAGGTGAGAATATTAATTGTGGCATATCATAGGCTTTTATTGATTTTCCAAACAAAGGTAGTTGTAAACTTTAAAATTAGAATATTATTAAAAGCTTATGAAGTGCCCTAGATATTATTCTTACCTTTAGGTTTGATGGTAGCCGGTAGGTGAATTACAATATTGTAGTATACTAATAAATTAACGACACTGCTAAACCCAAATTTTTTATTTAGTATGTTTTAAGATATCAACACGAGGACGGGGGGTTTTGCTTTTTCTTAAATCATGCATTATGATAGTAGTTGGTTTAAATTTGATTTAAGTATTTCTAAATACAAATTTCTAAGTTTTAACCAATCATAAACAATTGAATAAAATATAAGGTAAATAAAATTGAATACTAGGAAATCATTTAATTTAATTTTTATATTTACAGATGTTATATCTATCCAAAAGACCAGTGAGCACTTTAGATTGATCTATGATGTGAAAGGTCGTTTCACCATTCACAGAATTACTCCTGAAGAAGCAAAAGTAATTAAATAACAAGTTATAAGTGTAATTAATTGGCTCGTTATTAATTTTCTTATTTTATTGTAGTACAAGCTGTGCAAAGTAAAGAGGGTACAGACTGGACCCAAAGGTGTTCCATTCTTAACTACTCACGATGGCCGTACTATCCGCTACCCTGACCCCAACATCAAGGTTAATGATACTATTAGATACGATATTGCATCATCTAAAATTTTGGATCATATCCGTTTTGAAACTGGTATGTTAAATATTTATTTTTTACTTAAAAGGAAATGTATGTAGATAATTGACATAATCATTTATATTTTTAAATTTTAGGAAACTTGTGCATGATTACTGGAGGTCGCAATTTGGGGCGTGTTGGTATTGTTACCAACAGGGAAAGACATCCAGGATCTTTTGATATTGTACACATTAAGGATGCAAATGAACATATTTTTGCTACCCGGTAAGTTCTTTATTTTTTTAAATTTTTGTTTATTATTATTCCTTAAGTTTATTTTATTACTAGAGTGATTTTTAGAAATTTTTTGAGGTTTTTATTGTTGTATGTGTGGTATATCTTGTTGGTATTTTGATTACATATGGTTGCTGTGTATTTACTATTTTTGTAATATTGTAAGATCTTCGTTTGGGAGGTTATGTCATTATCTCTATTAAGATAGAAGATAGTAGATTTGATAGTAGCAACAATAACTAGAAAAAAAAAGTTTTTTTTATAAAATAATGTAACCAAATTTGATATAAAATTATAAATTCTTAACCACACCCATATAGATAAGTCTGGCCACTCGACAGTGTTTGTACGTGGTCGGGATGTGCCATTATTGTATACTTCATATCGGGGGAATGCTAAGTGGTGCTATCTACATTCATAGTATATCATTCTAAGTATTACACATTTAAAACTAAGTATAGTAGAAATTATAAATATTTCAATGAGTTACTACAATGTAGTTTTTCGGTCTATAACGTTAAAAGTTGTACAAAATATAGTTTGTAAGTAGATAGCGCCACATAGCATTCCCCCGGATGCGTATACAATAACGGCACACAAAAATCGTCGAGTTGCCAGACCTATCTATATGACCGTGTTCTCAACTATTACATTTATTTCAAAAACTAAATGTTAATTGGTACATATTATTTTCATATTGACTTTCACTATCGGTGACCTTTTTGAGAATGATTTACACCTTGAAAGTGACTGATCTTAAATATGTTTATGTGCTAAAAATAAAAATTGAATGCTCATTAAACTGATGATATTCACAATACTGTGTTTCAAATAAAAGAAACCTTCGACAGTAATGAGTGTGGCTAACACTTGAGTGCTAAACTCTTGTGAGTAACACTAATTCAAAGCTATTTTTTGGTCGTAGCCGATTGTTTGGTAATAAATGAAAGCTGACAACATACATTTTTTAGCAAGTTCTGTGTACATAATAATAATTATAAATGCTCATAACTAACTTAAAATAATCCCACATATAATATTCTTACCATACATAATACAATATTCACTCTAATTAAACGTATACTAACGCTACCATACATAAACGAGATATGCTGAGCCTAAATTTGGTATGTTATGCACTTGTAAGACGGTGACAGTGAACATCTGTATAGCATCCTCTTAATTGCGTCCTTTGAAACCCATCCATATATGACATGTGCCTTGAACATTTTTAATTTATAGTTTTATTCCCCACTTTATTCTGTTGATTAAAAAACTAATAAATTTTTTATTTTATAGGATGAACAATGTTTTTATTATTGGTAAAGGTCAAAAGAACTACATTTCTCTACCAAGGAGTAAGGGAGTTAAATTGACTATTGCCGAAGAACGTGACAAGCGTTTGGCTGCAAAGACCAAGACTAGCAGACGTTAAAAGTTTGTTTATGCATTTTCATGTGATTTGAATAAATGACTTATAAAATACAATTATGTTTTCAATTGATTTTTTGGTTGTATTCCAAAAGTTTTGTCCTTAATTATTATTCTTTGTGACTTAGGTTTCTAATGGTCTATAATATGTAATACTTTTCATTAACTACTGTTTTTCTTATAGTGACATTTTGTATATTAAATATACATTTTATTGGAACATTATTTCTTTCTTAAGCCAATGGGTAATAGTTACTTAAATTATTGTAATTGTTTAAAAAATACACTACATCCGCATGCATTCTACCTATCTTACAAACACATAATATAGAAAAAAAAGCAATTTAATTATACGCTCAGCAGATCACGTTTAGCTCTGTTAGTTAAACAATTTACCTCTTTAGAAGTAAGAATATTATCTAGTGAATCTCGGGGTTTTTTTTTATATTTTAATTTTAAAGCAAGATATGAGTATTTTAAAACTGTAAATTGTTTGTTCATTTTAAATAACTAGATAATATTCTTATCTTTAAATTGTATAGGGTTCACTCTAATTTTTAAACTAATAGAGTAAAACGTGATATGCTGAGCGTACAATTTGCTATGTTTTGTGTTTGTAAGAAAGAATGTATGCGGGTGTGCGACCTCTTAACAGATGATGTTGCAAAAGACGGGTCATTAAAAGATCAGTTCTAAAAAAATTGTTGTAGTTTGTCACTTACCAGAAACATAATTAAACAATAAAAAATAAGGCACCAGTCCAATGTGTGAACTACCTAGTGTGAGTATTTGACCTAGTACATTACCCTAATTATTAAATGCCAATGGGAAATTCAGAAAGTGTCATGAAATAAGAGTGCTTCTATTATAACCAGCTTAACTCAAAGAGTAGTGGTGGTGATTATCATCCAAATAAGCTAACTAAATTATATAATTTCTTAACTTAACGTCTAATATAAATTATACAAATCGCAATTTGGCAACTTAGGATATTATGTGGCAGTGGCAGTTCTAGTGTATGGGCAGGGTGGGCAGCTGCTCATAGCAACATTTCTGGTGCCTCTTATTAGTGAAGGGGGAGGAAATGAGGAATATTATTCGCAGTTAAAACTAATTATAAATCTACTGTTGCCCGTACGAAAATGTAGTCCTAGAACCGCGCCTGTTATGTAGGGATCTTTCATCCATTAGTTGTAACTTGTATCTTATTAAAATGTGTGTATTGTAAGTCTTAAAGATCCTTATAATTAATATTTGTATTTGATTTTGGTGGTTATGCGTATTCTTTAGAATACATCTGAAGGTACAAATCATCAAATTTATAATTAAATTAAGTTCAGATTATACACGTTAAGAATTATTTTGTAAAATTTGCTACAACAAACTTTAAAGTTCAGTCATCATTATTATAATATCATTTATTAAACTATGTGTACAAAATAACAGCCTTATAAGTTATACATTTATAATATTACAAAAGTGTATTGAGCATGACCAAATTTAAATATTGTCTCGACAATTACATAAAATCTTTTCAAATTTTATATTCGTGTTAAATACTATTATACATTTGAATTTAAAGAATAAAATATCACAAACATTTTAACAATTAATAATACATTAAGATTAAGCACTGTTAGGAAAATATAGTGCGTTGTCATACAGGTACGTGCATTTTATACACGTTTTTCTGCAAAACTTGTGCGTGCCTTGACTTCATGTGCCTGTCGAGGTCTCTCTTGCGCACCAGGATTTTCCCGCAACAATCGCACCTGCACGAATAAAACAAATTACGATTACAGCGCACAATTGGTTGGAAAAAATTAATATTTTAAGAACGTACTTATGAGGAGTGTCTCCTTCGGCATGCAACCGCACGTGTTTGTTCAAATTGCTTGGGTCGCCGAACGGTCGGAAGCAATATTTGCATTTAAGCGGCTTGAAACCGGTGTGAGTTCTATATTGACAACAAAAACAATTTTATACTTTTAAGCCAAATCCCATAATTTCCTTGCACCTAATGGGTAAAACTTAACTTTTTATTGTCATAATATTAATATATTCTTTGACGGTTAAATTATTATATCGTGTAAATTAAACGTGAAAGTCTACAATGTAGATTCTGCAGAAGACGATTGCAGTGATGTATTTAGAACTTTAACAGGGGGGTTGGGGCAGCCGGCAGGGTTACTTTCATATTAATTATGATTTATGAGCATACTCAGGCTTAATTATAATTTATAAAATATAATATCTATATTATGACTTTTTAGGTATATCTAATAAGGAAATTATTCGTTTTTCGGCGAGCAAACAATCCCTCGTGTATAGATAGGAGGTACCTATGAACCAAATTTTAGAACCACGAGTGCTATAGACTTGGCTGTGGATTGTTTACACACACATACAAACATAGTCTTTTATTAATATAGATAAGTTCAACTAGTTCAAGCCTTCAAGGGTAGGTTTTAAGTATAGACTGTATACCTGATGTGAATCTTGAGCCCGTACTTCCTGGAGTAGACTTTACCGCAGTATATGCACAGGTGTCCTTGATCGGAGTGGCCGAGGTTGCTGACGATGGTTTCCATCTCGGCGCAACGCCTGTCGAAGAACGCCGTGTCGCTGCCGCCGATCACCTGTCGGAGCGGTCCGTCCTGCAGTGGCGTTCGGTCGGACGATGACGAAGACGACGGTGGCGCGGGCGGCGGCGGCCGCAGTGGCGACGGGGGCGCTGGAGGACCGCCGCCACTGCTGGCCGACGACTCGGGCGAGTAAGGCCGGAACGCCGAGTCGGCGGAGCCGGACGACAAGGGCGCCCGCGACTCGGCCGGCGTCAGGCTGAACCGGAACGACGCTTCGATCGTCCGGCCGCTCGCGCAGTGGTCGGCCGCCAGCCTGGACCAGAGTTTGGCGCGCGGTCGTCTGCCGCAGTCCAGCGCCATGTGGATTTTCAGCGGGTTGGGCTTTTCGCACGTGTAACCGCACTTGTGGCAGACGTACTTTCTCTCGTCTGTGGAAAAAAAATTGTATTTAATAATAATATAAACACATATAGGTAGGTAGGTATATACAAATAATATATATTTTGTAATGATTTACAAATTACAATGAATTACAGATGTGTATATGTTGTAAAAAATATAGGCATAACTGCATAATATTATGCATATTTTGTGCCTATTACAGTTGTTAGTTACCTATACTAGAACTTTCGTTAAAAATCATTTCGTGCTTATCAAATTATGATATTTATATGATCATTATAATATGATATATTGGTATACCTACTTAAACAGGCATTTTTTTCAAATATATTTCCATAATTACTTTTGACGGATATTAATTTCGGATGTGAATTGTTGATTTTATTTAGGGTCTATATGAAATATGTGTCACGTAGCATATTATTTTAAAGTTTAGTAAAGGCGTAATGCCCCTGTCATCCCCAGAGCAGTAGAGCGGTGGTTCCCAAACATGTAGTACGCGAAAGGCCTCATGAAACATGGTATGTTCGGAAAATCAATTGTTTTTTTTTTTTTATTAATTTTTTGTAGATTATAATAATGACTGTATCTAGTAAGAAATTACCCATAAATAATAATATAATTTCATCACCCACTCAGTTACACACCTATATTTACTATTGAATTGATAAAACCCAACTCGTGCCAATTTGTGGGGGAGCGGGGGCAGCAATAGTACGTAACTTAACGATAACAATATGTGTGGCCGACTCGTCGATCGCGCCATGTACCTATATCATTACGTCATAATAGAATATATAAACCCGCAGGCCATTGGACTCGGGCCCGCGGCTGCGCGTCACGTCGCCTCACCTCTTATGTTGACGGGCGTGAGAAACGGCACGTGCAGCATGAGTTGGAGATCGGGCGGGAACCACATCTTGAGCGGCTGTCCGGGCATCACGGCGGCGGTGGTGTGCAGCCCCAAGGTGCCGGCGGCCAGGAGCGACAGCCGGCAGTTGTACGCGTGACAGTCGTCGGCCAGCGGCACGGACAGTATCCAACAGCTGCAGTCGGCCGCGGGACAGCGGCCAGCGGCCTCGCACACCAGTCGTCCGGCGTCGTCCACGGACACCGAGAGCGTCTAAAATACGACGACATAAATATTACGATTATTAACGATATTGTAATTTGTATTAGTTATAACTTATAAGTCTAAGGTTAATAATATGATTGCGAAATATTTCAAACTTGAAACTTTCACCGTTCTCGAAATATTGAAAAATATATTTCTCTCTGTTTTTTTGGCGTGTTTCATATACAATTATCACTATAGGTATTATATGGTCATAATAATATACTGATTTCATACCTGATTAGTTATTATTAATTCTGGATCGTGATGTAAATAGAAGATACCTACTACGTATATGTATATAGGTACCTACATATAAGATGGATAATTATTATGTGATTTGTATATAATGTAGGAACTATATGTATATGAATATATGTAAGAAATATTTCTGTAATATTTTTCACTAACACGTGACTAACTAGAGGCGTTTACTGAACATTCTGCTATAATTTTAAATTAAAATTTGTGTTTTTTTATCTTTCATTAATATGCAATTTTTCATGAAAGTTTCGTGAAATATTTCAAAAAAATAAATTTCACAACCAAGATTAATGTTGAGACAAAAGCGTTTGGACAACTTGATACTATAATGATTCTTCCATACAACTAGCACATATTATATTATAACGTTATAAACATTGGTAGGTATCAAAAGTAATTTAAGAAAATGGTTCCGTGGAAACACGATCATCGGATACCAGCTAGTTTTTAATGATAAATCTAGAATTAATACATTTTTACTTTACTAAGTTGCAGCAATACTATTAAATTGTAATGTCTCTATATCTACTATTGTCATTATAAAAACTGTGCTTAGGTAATGTACAAATCACTAAGCAAATATTTATTTATATTTTTTTAATCTTAGTATACCTTGAGTACAGTGTGCGTGCGGGTTTTTCCACGTGTTCGTTCCCGCCGATAAATGTATTATTTCATTTTTAAAAAATATTAGTCTTAAATTGTTATAACTTTAGTAAGTATTTGAGTTTATTTAATAGGATAAACACGGCGGGACATTTTAAAAATGTTGAAGACCGATGGTTAAATTTAAACGGATCTCGAATATCCTGCCACCCCCCTGAAATGTTTACACTGCTAATGAAAAATGCCCTCCACGGGTCTTGTACCACAGTTGTAGGTACTTACAGTGTAGACGAGGCGCTTACCGTTTTACTTCCGGTCGTCGCAGAAGACACATCATCACTTCCTGGTGGCGATGAGTGCAGGCTTCCGCTGCAAAGCACATCCGCCACATCCAGGGTTGTCGTACCGCAGTTGGCCGGCAAGTACGAGGCGGCTACGAAAGTCTGTTTGCCGTCCAAGGGCGGCTGATCCCGGTGTTGCATGTGCAGTCTTGTATCGTCCCGGCGGTCACTATAAGCGGCGAGCTTCTTCCCGATCATGATGGGTGTATTACTGTATTATTGAAATGTTGTCGCGCGGAGGACCTGCTCGGCGGATGGTCGCTGGTCGGCAAGTGCAGTCGGTGCCACCACAACCTGTTCTCCACATCATGTGGACCCTTTCGGTTCTGTATAGGGGGTGGAGCGAGCACTGCCGAAAATGCCCTTCGGACCCACCCCCACCCCCTGCAGAGGGTGTGTAACACCTTGCGGCGCTCGAGAAGCGCCTTTACGTCATCGTATTATATATATATATAATGGTATATTGTATTATATGCGATGACGTGCGACACCAAATCAGTCGCGGTCGCAGCTGACCTCCTCCCCACACCATCCAGACATAATAATTTTGATTTTTTTGTCTACGCATGGCGTTTAAATTATATACGTTTCGAATTATACGTCGTTTGCATGGTGGAGGTGGTAGTTATTGTGGTGGTGGCGGAGGTGGCGGTGGTAGTGGAGGTGGTGGCTCACGATGGTGGCGATGGTGGACCACTCGATCTACGCGATTCGTCAACCCTCGTTTCGGTGTGCACTGAAGGGGGAGGAATTGCGCGCAGAGGGCCCGACCCAGACCCGCACGAAATCAAATACATTATAATATTATGGTTTCGATGTATGCGCGTATTGCGTAAATTAATTATTATTTTTGTTATTATTATAATTTAAGAGAGAAGTTCTCTGAAACTACTAAAATCATGTCTAAGATCTGCCGGCAGGGAAAACCGATTGGGTTTTAAACTTTTAACATTTTGTAGACTATTTTACCGACAAATTCCATAAGTGTCAACGACTCAATACTTTTATGAGCTCCTATACCAACAGTGTTTGTAGCTATCCTCAATGTATATGAATTATTATGAGTGTATAAGTACGTAATATTGTAATAATATTATATATATAATATATATGGTAATATATCTGTTCTTTATTTATATTAATTATTAAAAATTTAGTGACGCATATTCTTAAGCCCTTCGACCTCCCTTCGTCTGTTTTCGAGTTGCGACACATTGTCGGCCTCTGTTTTATTTAAAACACAATATTGCGTTTATACGTTTAAATCAGTGTTTTCTAAACGGTGATCCACGATTCCAAAGATTTATTTCATATTTGTATTTTTATTTACTTAAATACTGAACCATTTGAAAAAAATCAATTTAGTGAAAAAAGTATTACTTAAATTTTTTTTCCGTAATGCTTGAATTTACACTGTTTATAAGAGGTAAAACAACCATAGCTTTCCTTTAAGTTGTAACACAGTTACAAATAATTTGTCTGGTAAGCAATTTTTTGTCACACATCATTTTCATGATTGTGTTTATTGACATTTTCCAAGAACACATTATTAGAGGATAATTAAAAAACACTTAATTATATAAGTTTTTACAACCAAAGTCCAATATTGAACCCAGTCTTTTAACAATTTTTTAAATCAAAACATAAACCTATAAAAAAGGAAAATTGTTTTTTTTTTCACTCGATATAGGTACACTACTACACTTTACGATTTCGTACTCGTGATAAATTATGTGCATATGAAATATTTGGCACAATTGTGGTCATTTTGAAAGAATGCCTATCACCACCGAGCAGTAAGTTGTTGAATATACCTTATCGTTAAGTAATTGAGTACCGTCCAAAGTTCAATGGACTCAATTAAATTATATTAAGATATAATCAACTGGACTGAATTCAAACACCTAAAAGTAGCCTAGACTCAATTCAATGTTATACCTTGTCCATATTGTGTCAAAAAGTAGTGTGTCTTTCCTATTCCGTATTCCTTTTAGCGGCTGTAATTATTTAATGAATCTCCCTATTGTCCGTACGATAAGACTGGCCAATGAGGACCCACAATTCCTTAGTATTTAGTATAATTATTGTCTGCTAGTTCTTAAATATTTGTAATTTTTTGATGTTAATTATTTTTCAATGAAAAACAATGTAATTGGGTTCGTCCCGTAGAAATATAAAAAAATAAAATAAAAAAGTAGTGAAAACATTGGTTTAAAGTTAGTTTAAAGTTTAAACCTATTCTAGTTTAATCAGTTGGTCATCCATAGTATTTGACATTTGGTGGGAGGGGGGCTGAAGCTCAGGTCTATACTTGATATTCCGATGTATTATGTAGTGAAGTCATTAGTTTTTTTTGAGGGGTGGGGGGTTATAGCAATTTTAGGGGAGGCTATGGCGCTATGCACCCCCTTCCAGCCACATCCTTATTTGTGTCTATATGTTTTCATCTATATTCTATAGTATTGATGCGGGTTGTATGTATCATGTATGTTAGGTTCTGTACAACCCGCAGTGACTTTAGCTACAACGTTCTCAATTATAATTGACTATAATTTACAATGACTGAATTATAATAATAAATAATAATATATCATAATATTTGAATAATATTTCATGAATAAAGTTACTATGGTAGCAATACTGCAGAATTATGGATACCTATGCTGCAGAAATGGATTCACCGACTATTCTTTTCAGTCTTTTCACTGACTCGGAAACCGGTGTCCGGTAAAAATGGAAAAGTTCCAATTCGCCGACAGACGTAATTTTATAAAATATAAAAATAATTTTTATGTGGAAATCTAGAATATTACAATCTACAATCAAAATGTTGATAAAACTATTATACTACGATAATACGATATTATTGGCATTTGTCAGTTGATAGTTAGTAGAGCTCCCTATTTCAAGTGTACACGTCTTCACGTATTTACTTGAAATTTACATCCGAAAATATAAAACCGTGTACTTGAAAAATTCGTGTAGTTATTCACGTGTACACGAATATTCACGTATTCACGTATTTTAGTGTTTTAATATATTAAGTATACTTTATTATTAGCCATAAAATTTACTTATAAATATATACAAAATCTATAGAAAATTTAACAAAAGCATTTGATACATTTATTCATTTGAACAATGTTCGTAAATCGTAATTTATAAAAATTTAAAACAGTAAAAAAAATTATATTTGTAAGTGTATGTAATTCATTGTCAATGAATGCAAATCGGGTGTCGGCAAAATGGTGTGTCGGCCAATTGATTTGTCGGGCCAATCGGTACGTCACGATTATACCTAAGTAATTCAATAGCGTTCCTATAGCCCTGCAGATAGGTTTATCCGGTCGTAAGAGTTACGATGACGTTACGGACCCTGTAGAGTGTAGTTCATCACACGGGCATACCTATATTATATACTAATATTACAAAGGTGAGCAATAGTTAATGAAAACAGTTAAGTTATGTTAAGTTAATAAGATACATGATCGATAAGTTAACAAATCATAAATTGAACTTGATAAGTTAAAAGTTAATGGAAAATAATATCAACTTAACTCAGTTTGAAAAAAAATGAATTTACTTTTTTAAATTAGTATATGGATCACTAGTTAAGTTAAAAATTAAAAAAAAAGTATAACTTTTTAACTTAACTATAACTTTTTAACTAGTTAATGCCAACCTCTGCTAATATACTTATATGCCTATAATAGTTAATATGTGCATGCTATTGATATACTATATACACGTATAATATAATACGGTATTAATTACGCGGCGCATTGATGAATGTCCACGGTTTTGAAAAAAAAATCAAATCGACAATAGGGAGAAGACCATCTGCACTGTCAATGGGTTTGTCTAGTCACACATATGTAGGGTATATAATATTATTTAATGCGTATATTATTATGTCATATTAAATCGGTCATCGACGTATATAGCACTCGACGGATCAAACACTGTACAGCACACCCCGCCGGTGATTTCGGCGATCGACAAGTGTTCTGCGAGTCCTGGCAAAGGTGTAAATCCTTTCACGTCCGACGGAACACGCCGTGGCCATTATGCGTTTGTACACGACGCTCGTCCTCACCGCTATAAAATAGAGGGGGAGCAACAAAAAAATGATAATAGAAAAATACGAAATGCAAAAATATATAATGCGCGAGCCACATTTGAGTATATCATTGTTGTATATACGTATACAGGGCGACCCTACATGTACAAGAGCTCCTATTCCTATATATACACTCTGTACAATAATAATATAATATGATGTGTATAGCGTAGGGGTCGCGGGCCTGTTTTTTTGAAAATCCTTCAGGTTCGTCCCCACACGCAGACTCGTCGCTTAATATATAATATAATGCCCGCAATTAGATTTCCATTGAACCGATTTCTGCTCGTATATACATATTAAAATATGTAAGTATATAGTATATATGTATATACACACTACACAGACACGTGTGTGGTGACAACAACCGCGATCGGTTTAAATATTATAATAGGTATAATGAAACCGATCGACTCCCCTAAGGCTGTCGAGAGCGGCTCGTTTTTTCGTGCGTTTAGACCAATAAGCGGAAGAAAAATTCACCCAGTACATGAGTCCGAATTTAATTTTGAAAACATATTTGAATTCTTTATTCTCTTTTCTAGGTCATGTAGCAAATGGATTTTCGATTTTTTTTTTCTAGTAACATTAAAGTAAAGGTGAATTTTGAAAAAAAAGAATATATGTATATTATAATTAATTTGATACTAATATACTAATTAAACATTACAAAAAATCAAAAATCCATTTCCATGACCATATAACCTAGAAAAGAGAATAAGGAATTCAAATATGTTTTCAAAATTAAAAACGGTCCTGCGGGAGAATTTTTCTTCCGCTTTTTTGTACTTTCGTATTGAAACTTTTTTAATCGCAAAATGTAATGACGTTTGACTGCGCGTATGTACGTTACTTGATTGACAAGAATCACAGCCGTAGTTTATCTTTAATTACATATAGAGTTCGGGGAACTCACTCACACTAATGATCAGTCACTACACACACAGTCACACATAAATCACGACGGTTAATAGGAGACCGCCCCTATTCACTCATCAACGCCCAGACCAAACCGCTGGGTCTAGAGACTTGACATTTTGTACAGACATTCCTTAAGCAATGTAGGTGCGCACTAAGAAAGATTTTTCAAAATTCTACCTCCAAGGGGGTCAATAAGGGGTTTTTATTCTTATGTGTATAAAAGAACAGGCCTTTTTTTTGTTCCCATTTTGTGACGACGCTATTAAACTTTTTTTCAATTTTTTTCACAGAGTTGTTCCAAATACCTTCTTGAGTGTCACCGCGTCACCCGATTTTCTAAGTTTTGATTTTAAAGGGTTGAAATCGGTAAAAATAAATTTTTACGTGCAATTTGTATATCTATATTCATATAATAAATAACAATAGCAGTCCTGCAACCTGTCCTTTTTTTGTGTGTGTATTTTATCAACCATCTATCTATTACTACCTATGTCTATCCCATCTATATATATATATAGTGTGTTTCCTTTTAAAGTTAACACTAAATAATTCTGTCCAGTGACATCGGATTAATATGCGGTTTTCAGGAGGGGATAGGGAATACATAAATACACATTTCTTAATGAGTTTTACATTTTTAGATCTTTCCGTGTGCGCATGCGCAATACAACTTGCATTTTTTTAAATGGCAACAGGTGTTTTGAATACCAAATTCGGATAGACCGAATTTTTTTAAGTCGATTTGGTCCTTTTTACCATAGCTCTAAAATCAAAATTGACTAAATGGCAAAAAGTCAAAGTTTCGATTAAAATTATTGAATTTTTCACCAATCATACTAGAATTTTATGAATTATTATGAAATTTTATTTACTATTTTTGTATCCGTAGGTTTGCAGATATTATTAAATCATTTAAATTTAATTTTGAAGAATTAATTAACCTCACAACGTAAATCTATCCAAATAAATAATAGAAATGATTGAAATTGTAAAAAAAATGTGTTAATTAGTTTAATCTTTTCTTACTTAGTAATTGAACTAACATTTACGCCTAATTGAGGTTAATTAATTCCTCAAAATTAAATTTACATGATTTAATAATATCTGCAAACCTACGGATACAAAAATAATAAATAAAATTTCATAATAATTCATAAAATTCTAGTATGATTGGTGAAAAATTCAATAATTTTAATCGAAACTTTGACTTTTTGCCATTTAGTCAATTTTGATTTTGGAGCTATGGTAAAAAGGACCCAATCGACTTAAAAAAATTCGGTCTATCCGAATTTGGTATTCAAAACACCTGTTGCCATTTAAAAAAATGCAAGTTGTATTGCGCATGCGCACACGGAAAGATCTAAAAATGTAAAACTCATTAAGAAATGTGTATTTATGTATTCCCTATCCCCTCCTGAAAACCGCATATTAATCCGATGTCACTGGACAGAATTATTTAGTGTTACCTTTAAAAGGAAACACACTGTATATATTATATTCAGTGGTGTAGTCGTAATTTTTTTACTGAGTATACGCTTTAATGTGCTTGATATGCAAACGTGGGGGGCTTCGCCCCCCACACCCCCCATATCTACTACGTTACTATTAATTTCATATTTATAATTACATACACTTTATTACTACCTTACCACAATTATTGAGCCTCTATAGTTTACAATCAGAAATCGGGGGACGAGGTGGCCGAGCGGTCTAACGCGTCGGCTGCGGCGCGGCCGGTTCGGGTTCGATCCTCGACCACTGGGCGGCATTTTTCTCCGGGCAAGTCACGGTGTCCGGAGAACAAGTGCCGCCATCCCCCAATCTGGGACATGGCAGAAACCTACGGGTGCCCCATTCGAAATTCTGCCAAAAACACAAACACTCACGTGTAAATCCCTACCAACAAAAACCCTACCATTACCACCTTACAACCTACTATAGGTTGTAAAATGTAAGGTGTATGTATTCTATATTTTATTGACTTACCTTTGTAATTCGAATAATAAATTTGTCCATTGTATTTGTTTTAAATGAGTTAGTGAAACGAAATAAATAATAATAAATTAATAACTAATAACGAGTAATAAGTAGTAAGTACCTAATAACCAATTAACAATTTAACAATTTAAGAATAAAAACATTTTCTTCAAAGCGAGTTCGGTATAATTTTTACCGATATATTTGTATTTGTTAATATTACGATTTACGGTTAATATACGGTATAAATATTAACAAAATTGAAAATATACAAACTACAAAGGTTATTAATGTTTTATTATTGTGGTAAACTGTTTACTGTACAGTGACACAGTGTATCAGTGTACACGAAATAATATTTATTGACAAAATTATTTTCGGTAATGCATGTGACCGTGCATCTTGGCGTCGGCGATCGTTATCGATAAGCTTATAATTTTAGATGTATAATATATATTATACAGGGTGTTTCAAAATGATTCATCCGATTTACATTACATCCTAACCTGAATCGGATGAATCAATATGACTAAACATTTTATTATTATCTTTCTTTTAATTACTGTAATATCGACAATATCGTCGTTAGCATTAGCTATTAAACCTATAAATCGACGGAGGAGAGAATGTTTAAACAAAATTGTCCCTAAATTATTAAAATATCCACTAAACAACACTTATTGTGACTACATGAGATCATGTAATGTACCCTGTGACAAGAATTTAATCCCACCTACTGACATCCAATTCTTTGATCAATCGTCTATGCCAATAGAACGTCGAACAACGTTTACTACTAATAATAATAATTGTTTAAGACCAATATCATTTTTACAAACTACTAACAGTAAGTCTTGTGTTAAATTTACTGATTGTCGAAATGTCAGATGTGTAGGTGAGACCAAACGCGATGTTGATTTTAAGAGAAGAGCTTTTATTGCTTTTGAGGCTATAGCATGTGTATCATCCGTGGTGTTGATGGCCGCCATAGAGATTGGAACGGTGGGTTGGGCAACGCCAGCTTTAGTTTCTCCAGTGTTGGGAGGTGCATGTAGTAGTTTCAAATCTGTTTCGGATTTTATTGATAATATTGGAGAATTATTTGGTTGGTGGTAATAAAAATGCACCTTGATATAATCAATGCTTAAAAAAAAACTATAGATTCATCATGTGTAGCAAAAATAATTTACTAAAGGTATCGAAAGGAATTTTTTCATAATTTAATAATACACGTCTACACTAATTTAAATAACATTAAATATTATAAAATACTAAAAGCAGAATATATTATAAGTAGTCATTATTGTATTGTGTGTATTAATAAATTAATATAATTAATAAACGATGGGAGCAGAGGAGTAGTATTGTTCAAACCAGAGCCTCTTCTGGTGTCGGTTAAACAAGGGAAAATAAGTAGTCATTATTGAACAAATTTAATTTAATGCTAGTGTTACTTTAATCTTTACACAATATATTATAAATCAGTCACTACTAGATAAACTTAATGTTACACTAATTTAACTTCTACAAAATATTATAAAATGAAAAAAAAAACAATATATTATAAGTAGTCATTATTAGACAAACTTAATTTAATACTAATTTAATTGTACACGATATATTATTATAATATTACATATTAGAATTACTAACCAGTCACTATTAGACAAACTTAATATTAGCCATTATAGGTATCTACATTAATTTAACTTATACAAAATATTATAAAATCCCCTCAAAAAAATATAATCTAAGTAGTCGCTATTAGACAAACTTAATATTACATTAATTCAACTTATAAAAAAATATTATAAAAAAAATAAAAAATAAAAATATTATAAGTAGTCATTATTAGACAAACTTAATATTAGCTTATAGATACATTAATTTAACTTAAAAAAAATATTATAAAAAAAAAAAAAATAATAATAATAACATATTATTAGTAGTTATAAGAAGCTAACATGACCATATAAAACCATAATATAAATTTCGGAATTATCAAAGAGATTATAACTTAGCATATAATAGCCTAACATTGTCTGACTGTCTCTATCCTACACATTTAGGCTTACATTTATAACACATAAAACAGCTATCACCCCTGGTCTATTCTATTCTCATAATATCATGTCTATGAAAAAAGTGAGTCGCGATCGTCATGTGCCAAGTGGCCGTTTGTCGTCAGGGATACCTGAGCCAACTGCTTGCAAACCCTGCTCCAACTGTTTGCAAACCATATTATACTAGTAATAACTAATAATAATGATTAATGATTACATAATACTTAAAAAAGGTAATAAATAGGACCGAAGAGAAAATAAAATTAATATAGGTATAGATGTTAATTACACAAGTTATAAAATAAATAAATAATAAAACTAATTGAAATGCGTGCCAAGAAGTAACACTTGTCCTAAAAGTAGAAACAGCACTGAAAACAACACTCGGCCGAAAGAGTGCGATAGGATCGCTTCTCACTTGTCGGCTCTCCTAAGACATATATAATATTAATATATAAATCTTAGATCAGTTAGATCATATATATTATAATCAAAGATATTTATGGATCAATCCATCTTGAATATAAACAACATTGACAGGCGTTTATTCCCCCCTTATTGCCCCCATAGGTCTTATGAGAGTGTTTATAAGGTCAGTGTTTGCCCTACATACCACTATACCAGCTTTTAGTTACCACTTGTCAGTTGTCAATTACCATCAAGCTACCGTCAACTCAACACGGTTATTAAGTCATGTAATATCCAAATATTGTACAATGCTTCGTGAAGCAAAATTTGTTAATCCCTGACCTCTATTGTTATTATTATTATTTTATTATTGTTTATTATATATTCGCCATATTGTCACTCACTTGTTTAATATTATTAAATTATTGTTAACCTGCACTGGACTACCTACCGCAACAACAACGACATCAGCTGCAAAGTACACCCAGGGGCGCATTAAGGGGGGGGGGAAAGGGGCATTTGCCCCGAGCGGAAGTTTTTTGGGGGCGGTACATTTTTTGTAATTTTTTTTTTTTTGTATCTCAGAGTCAAAAAGAAAACACGCAAATTGTATGACATAATGGAAAACTCGCTTGTTTAAGAAACAACTAATAATAATTAGTATTATCATACTAATGTACTATTCTTTTGTACTTATTTTTCTGGGGAAGAAACAAGAAAAAAAAGAACAGCATTTTACAATGATTCTAATTTTAATAGTACTGTTCACATTGGAAAAAATAAAATGAAGAATGATATTTTTTATGTGATCATTGATACATTATGTTCAAATTTAAATGAACGAAAGGCAGCTTATCTAGTTATTAATAAAAACTTTAGTTTTTTGTTTGATTTGAATCGTTCGGACACTTTAAGTGTTCATCAAAGTGCATTGAACATTGTAAGTATATATACTGAAGATTTGAATACATCATTTGTTGAAGAAGTTATTCAATTCAAAAAAATTACTGAATCATATCACAATAATGATTTATCTATGAACGGACTGTTAAAAAAAATTATCTAGTTCTCCATTACAAGCTACCTTTCCTAATGTTCTTATAATTTTAAGAATCTTTGCTTGTATGCCTTGTACCAATGCGAGTGGTGAAGGATCATTTTCAGTGCTTCGACGAGTTAAAAATTATTTAAGATCCACCTTATCTCAAGATAAAATATCTTCCCTTTCATTGCTGTCAATAGAAAATGAGATGCTTAGAAGTATTGATTGGTCAAGTATTATAAAAGAGTTCGTGAACAAAAAAATAAGAAAAAAAATATTTTAATTAGTATTGTTCCATATTTGTCATTTAAATAGTTTTATAATATGTAATAATATTTTATTGTTAATAAAGAATAAAGATATATTTATTATTATAAGGCAATGCTTAATACATAGGTACTCCATAAATAACTAAAAATATAGGAGTTGCTTACTAGGAGGTATTTATTAGTTAATGAAATATAAACATTTTACATAATAAATATTCCAATTACCATTACTATTTTAAAAGAAAGGATTATTATTCCAAGTTCTAAATAGATATTTATTAATTAATTTAATAAGATTTCTATGTAGGTATAATAACTGTATGTAATGTAAGTTACTAACTTAATTTTGCGAGCGCAGCGAGGAAATTTTTTTAAAGTTTTTTATACTTTTATTAATATTCATAAAATACACCAGGGGCGCAAAATAATTTTGCCCCCCCCCCCATATGTGAACCCTTAATGCGCCCCTGAGTACACCATCAATTTGCCAACATCTGAAATTACGACCGTTGTATCTGCGTGTCCTGTTCTGCATTTTGTCAACTAATAACCATAACCTGTCAACGACCGCTGTTCCGGCACAAGTTACGCTCCGTCAAGTTCACCGTGTTTCAAACCACGCTTTCGGCTCAAAAAAAAGTGTTATCTTCAATACAAAAACGGTTTTAGAAACCGAAAAATGCCGAGTGCGATTTACTACTAACAAATCGAAAAATTCCGTGTGGAATTTACAATCGCAAGTTTATGCAGTAGACGATGTCATGTAATAACAATCAATATAACTTACTCAATAATATAGATACTATTATAATAAAAAAGGATGATAGGTATGTCATATGAATAATGGATAACTGTGAAACATGAAATTGTGTGTTTTAAATTTTAATCCATTGGTACAACCCTATTTTAACACGATAATTGACGATGTTGATATCGTAATGAATATAATATATATATTATAATCTAATAACCTATAAGAACCTACATAAAATAATACTATATATTAGGTATACTACCTATACATATAGGCATAGGCGCACATTGGGTGTGAATTTAGGGGGTGCTGGAATAATTTATGGTTCAAAGATCCCCCACACCCCCCTAAATCCTAATATTTCTGAATTGCATTAGATTTAATTTGTATAGTGTATACAATAATATCTAAAGTGCAATGTATCAAATAGTCTGTATGATTGTACAGAAGACGCTAGGTACACCCACATGTGTTGTCTCCGTATTACAAACGTAGGTACAACATAGGCAAAACTGTTTTGCACGGGTATAAAAAACATTCAGGCTGTACTCTAAGCTAAGAAACTAAATGTTCACACTATAAAAATGAGAAAATTTACTGTGTAACTTTGTTTTTATATTTCATAAAATTTGAAAACTATATATTAGGAGCCTTCTATTACATTTTTAAGCTTTTATACCCAACAAATAAAATTGTATTGATACTTATAGAAAAAAAACTAAAAAAAATGGAAACTAAAAATGTCCATAAAAACCTCAAAATAACTCAAAATATTTAGAAAATTTTATCATGCATAGAAAATGGAAATATAAATAACCAGTAAGATAATATAATTTTCTATAATGATATGATATAATATGATTGCTACATACTGTTTAATGTTTTGACAAAAACTGAAACACTGAAACATGCATTCACACAATACTGTTTTAATCGTGAATTCGTAAACAGTTGTCAATATTTGTAATAAAAAGAAAAATTCCGAACCAATAAACCACGATAGTTTATAAATGATTGGTGAAATACCGAAATAAACTGAGGGTGCTAGTTTGAAGCTTGGGGGTGCTAAGCACCCCCAAGCACCCCCCTATGTGCGCCTATGCATATAGGTAGGTATATAATTAATATATAATACTATAATATATGGTATTCGTGTTGAATATATATTTTTTTATGCATTAAACAATTATACATTTATACATATTATGTATAAAATAACAACTGTTTTTCTGAATTAATGACGTAGAAAAATTGATATTTTTCTAACATTTATTTTTTTATTTATTCTTTTACTTTCACCGAAAGCCTGCCCTCCGTCGCTTATATCCGGTTTCCGGGCGTATATAAACCCTCTAGCCACCAAAGGATTTTAAATGCGTGTTCAGCAGCTGTAACAATCGCGTAAAAACTTTTGTCCGTGTTTAAATCCGTTCCGTAAACATTGGTTATGGTTAATCCTGGTTGGAGCACTTGAACATTACAATTCGCCGCCAGCAACCCTTTCAGGTCTTTTGAACTACCCTGCCAGCAACGATTCTTCGCCGAAACCGTATATTCTATGTGTTCTTATATACATTATT